CCAAACATTTGTAACTTATCATTTTTGGTACCCACGATTTTAGCCCTTTTGCTATGTCTGATACATCAGTGTATGTATATCTTGTTTCCATACAGCCAATCAAATAATTTGATTTTCAACCACATATTATACAGTAGAATAAAGCAGTAACCACTTTGAGCAACATCCCACATTAGTTTTCTTCTAATCCTGCTTACTAACATGAACACACATCTCCTTCTCTTCAGGGGATAAGTGCACTGTTGGAGTCCGTTTGCAAATTAGCTGCTCAGCTGCGGCACATTACACAGCATGTAAACATTTCTACAAACCTCACTTCAATCCTGTTACACAAGGACGCGATTACTGGTAACACCTCAAATAACAATAATTGAATTGCACTGAAGACCAGATTTTTACCAGCCAATCCATACGTTGTAAATCCCTTGTTGAAAAGCAGGGTTCATATTCATTTACATTCTTTGGATTAACAAGGAAAAATCTATGTCCAGCGACAAATTGCATCCTCATTTTAAATGCTTGAACGCTTTACAAAATCTAAATCCCCATGAAACACGTTCCTGCATGACACTTTGACTTTCTTTTCTAAGACCAAGGTTTGAACCATGTTTCAAGTTGAATGGGAAATATTTTAAATGACACAAATTGTAATTACTGACATTCCCTTTTAATTCTAGTTTTTGTTCATCACAATGTTACAGTAAATATTTCCCATCTGTTGTTCCTATCACTTATTTGGCATCATCATGTAGATTATGTGACAATCCTTCCATAACCTCCACATCATTATTAATATTTGTAGTGTTGATGTCACTTCAGCAGATGAATCAGCCACAATATGAGCAGTTGAACAAGAAAGATGTTGAAACATTCCTGTGCAAACTTTTAGTTTTTTCTTCTTCTGCAGTGTATTTATGGACCATGTAATGTTTGTTCTGTTTTTGAATGGTAATAGTGAAATTTACACGAATCAAATCTGAGGAGTTTTTGTTCCAATTTTACTTGAATTGATTGATGATTACATCGTAATCTAAATTTGTTTGATACAATAAAAATCTTTAAATTGGTGATTGGGTGTTGTTCCTCCATCTGTGTCAGCATGAGATCTGCTCTCATACTGTTCCAGTTTCCAAAATAAAGTGAACCAGGATCTGCTTTCCTGTATTTTAATGACAAAAACAGGCTCATTGGTGAAAAATCCTTCAGAAAACTTTAACTCAACAATGTCAATTATCAGTGTCTGACATCATTGCACCACTGCTCATGTGTTAAGTTGAGATTCACTTTGGCTTTATCCTAAAAATAGGCACTCTGGCAATAAATAATTCAATGTACTCAGAGCCAGGAGCGTAAAAGACACATTTATTTTTCATAAACACAACTGTTTTTCACAAATATCTTTGGGGACTCTGCAGAAATTTTAGCTGCTTGTGAAATCTATACAGATATTTATGTTACCTTTAGAGGTACCAGCCTGTGTGAGACTGTGATAGAATGTCGCACTCATCATTTGATGTATTACTTTTGAGTTTGACTCAAGAGACAATGGTGAGTATCTTGTTTTTCTGTACTCCTGCACATACATACACAGATAAGCGTGTCATGGCAGTTTTGTATATTGCATTTACACCCTCACCGTATATGTGTTTGCGTGTGCTGGGGGTGGGGTTTTAATTATGTGAGCTTTGCATGCAAACCTTAGCTCACGCACATTTTACAGGGAAGTAACAAAGCTGTGTCTTCAGTCATTTGTTTTGATAAATCCTCCCTGTTGATTTAAATACAGAAAAGCGTGATTTGTCCTCTTTGCCCTTAAATAAGAAAGGCAGAAAACTGTGTCAGTGACACTTTTGAGAATCAGAAATTGAGTTTGAAGCTGAGGCCTCAGGGCAGCCCAGGGGCCAGTCGTTTCACTTTGCTCTACAGCCCCTCCTACTGAGAGAGCAGAGAACTGAAATCAGCAGTCAGACACATTTTTTAAGGGGCACTTGAATGTGACGTGTTCATGGTGCATGTTAAAATCAAAGGATCAAGTAAAAAGCGTGTTTAAATGTTCTAAGTAGAATGCGTAGGATCAAGGTTTTGCATAGATATAAAGTGTGACCCATATTAAGGATAAACGTCAGGATGTACTGAATGAATCAACACCAAGCAGCATGAATGACAAACACTGACATGTTTTCAAGGTTTATTGATGATTAAAGGATTTTTGTGCAGTTCAAAAGATAAAGAGTAAATGATTCCTTATGAGTGTTTATACGGCAAATTAAATTAATTACAGGGACTTTACTGTGTAACATGGCCAGCATGTAGACTTTGCATTTAAATTAGCATAGTTAAACTACACTTGAAATAAGACATGAGGACATTTCTGTGACATCACTGCATCTTACCTTGGGAAGATGATCTTAATCTTAACCCCTCCTCTCTTCCCCACTTTCATCCATCAATCTGAATGTTGTGGTCTTGTTACAAACAGTGACTCAATGTTAACTTCAGTTAACCTTGATTTATTCTATGAAAAAGCACGTATCAAAAATGTCTACGGGTTTGTCTCTGTGGTTGGGTCCTGCTGGGATTTTTCTGAACGCTCCTCTTGTCTGGATGTCTGTTTTTCTGTCAGTTTAGGTTCTGAAAATCCTGGAGGATGGAGAATATTGGAAAATGTTTGTTAAAGCTGAAAGGGAAACAATATTTGTATCTATTGATCTCCTCGTGGGTTCTCTCTGACATGAATGGTGGTAAGAAATCAAATCAAGTCTAAAAAAACATGTGTTAACGGACATTAAACATATCTGTGATCATTTTATGTTAGAAATGTTAAATCAGTAAAAATACCACAAAGAAAAATATTATTTTCTTTGCATTCGTTTTGCTAAGGTATGTGAAGACACCATTGTTCGCTCCATGCTCTCACATGTAAATGAATAACATGATGTGTTAAATACCATTGGAGCTGCTGTCCTTCCATTTGAGCTTGTTGTCTTCTGTGTGTCGTGTCCATGTGGAGCGGAAGCTCACCAGCTCAGCTGTGATGTGAGCGAGACTCCACTGCAGACCTCTGGAGCTCTCCTTCCACAGATTACTGACAAGACATAACAGAAAGCCTTCATCCTTTTTCCTTCTCTCCTTGTGTACACAGGTTTGGATTATTGCTTCTATGGATAATTGGTTCTCCATAACATTCTTGAAGAGTCTTTTTAAATAGTTCTAATTTTTTCTTAACTAAATTGTTTGCTTCTGTGTCATGATGATTGATATTTCTCGCATATCTGTGACATTAATATGGATTGTACTTGCAGCTGCTTCAGGCATCAAGAGACTTCAGAAGACAGAGAAAATTGCATTGTCTCTATGACACAGATTCAAATAAATACCAGGAGTGGGGATCGAACCCACGAGGGCATTTGCCCATTGGATCTTAAGTCCAACGCCTTAACCTCTCGGCCATCCTGGTACATGATGACATAGTCTCATTAACACCATCATTCGACACCTCATTCATTATCATAACCAAACTCTTCAGTGGCCTTCACACGTATCAGTGTTTCACATGTCCTGTCTGTGTGTCTACCTGTGTCTGTTACAAGGGTCTGGAGGACCTGGATTCTCCTCCACCAGCGGAATAACAATCTTTTCAGCCATGTCCGTCAGCAGAGAGAATGTAGGATACACGATGAAGTCTATGAAACCTGTAAGAATAAATGTCAGAACATCAGCATGTAAAAATAAGATGTTTCTGGAACATGAAAATGTGAATTTTGCAAATGTGGTTTCTTTTGCAGCAGTGAGGAAAGACAAATGCAGTTCTGTGATTTCAATGATTCAAGTTCTGAAATAAGAATATAGCTCACAGTGAGTAGGATGTTGCTTTTAAAAAGAAGGGGAAAGTGCAATAGCTATAGTTTTATCATTTTTTATGGTAACAAACGGTTTATAAAAGACATCATTGACATAAAACAGGTTTTGTTCAGGTTTTTGTGAGACGTACCGATCTGGGACTCGGCTACCAGAGTGCTTTTCCGATCACACAGAGGAGAGAAGGGCAGGCCGAGCTCCGCCTCTCTATCACCCTCACAAAGATAGAAAGAGAGAGAGAAAACATCTTAAAGAACGTCCCACACATTGTCTGAAAATAACTTCCTGAACTTTATTTGAATGTAACTCCCATAACCTGAGAAACAAACAAAACCTTGTCAGTGGTTGTGTTACTTTTTACATTAAATAAGGTTTTAATAGGGAAGTCTCTGACATCTTATTTTCAAGGAGAACACGGCTCAACACCTCCTTTATTCTATTTCTTTTAAAGGTCCAATTTTGTAAGGAAATCCCTCATACCAACATCAAACAGTATAGTTTATATCTGACTGGTCGAGTGGATGTTCTCCAGGCTTCAATTCTGAATGAAAGCTGAGGTCTCAAGGTCTGACTCAAGACTTTTTCTGATCGTTTCCACTTCAGTTTTCCACTCTGCTGCTTTGACCCAGATGAGTCATTTGCAAAAGACACTATCACACATCTGATCTCTAGAAGCAGTATCCTGCTGAGAGAGTGAGAAGAAGATTAGACAAGAAAGAATGACAGAGAGGAGAAATGATCGGAACATACTGAAGCTGAAAAGAAGAGAACAGTCCTTCAGAAAAAATGTTATGTTGTGACATATTCTCAAAAACACTGAGGCAAAAACAATAACGCAAAAAATACTGGTCTTAATAATATT